AAGCCTGGATGGGACCCAGAAGCCACCACCTGCTCCTGGCTGGCCAAAGCTTCCCCCCGCAGCGAGCTGGGGATCCACGGGAGGAGAGCCCCACAAAAGGGATCGCTCTCCAGCTTTTAGGCAATGGAAAAGGAAAGTCGGGCCCGGGAGACAGCAGCACTTTCCCTGTGTGCTGCTGGCTCAGCAGAGCTGCCCTCCCCGCAAGGCAAACGCATAGAGTAGGCTTAACTAAAAAAAATAAGGAGAGGAGGCGACAAGCATCGGATGTTTGGTGAGGAGAAAGACTTATCTCGAGGGTATTTGTAGGACACACCTACAGGCTTAACCTTGCAGAGGACAAGGAGCCTTTCAGCCCGGCAAAAAGCACCTGGCTGCCTTCAGGCAAGCTGTAAAAACCTGCTTTACATGATAAAAGGAAGCTTTGGGTCTTTTTTTTTTTAACATTTAAACAGGTGGAAGTGTAGCTCCCTGCGCTGCATGCCCACTCCAGGATGAAGGTCGCTGCACGTGGCAGCGCCCCGGTACTGCAGCCCCATTCCCTACGTGCCATCCATCACCACATGCTGCGGCTCCATCTTCCCCTGGGAAAACAACGGGAGATAAAGGAGCAGCACGTGCTCCGTCCGGCCTGGGAAACGTCTTGTTCTCACCAAATTCAATTATCAGCTTGGCGGGTGCAAAGGGAATTAAGGCCGGTGGTGGATCACGCGGGCTAACGGCAAGAAAGGAAGGTTTTAATAATATTTACAGCTTCTGGTGGATAAAGGAGTAGGTAATCAAAAAAACGCAGGCTGCCGCAGACTCCCCAGGGTGGTTATCTACCGAAAGCGAAGTTTCTCGGAAGGGTTTCACAGGCAGAAGTCCCCGGTTCAAGCACGTGGCTCCCAGCAGCGCTTCCTGCCTCGGCACAAAAACCTCTCGCTTAATCCGGTGATGGGCTGGAAACCCGCCGGCATCAGCCAGGCTCATTGGGCCATCAAACTCCTCTAAATTAGCTTAAATTCTGCTTTATAAACGGGATATCGGGCATGAAATTATGCGCTTTGGAGTGATTTTTTTTAATTAAGCACTCCTGGTTGTACAACAAGTCCCAGGAGGTGTCTAAGTAACCAAAAAACCTCTTTGTCATCCTACCTTTGAGCCAAGGCAAGATATGATGAGCAGCAGTAAGAAAGTTAACACATTAGCATCACAAAAACCTCTGTAAAACACTGATTTTTTTGTTAACCTGGGCCTCGACGATACTAAGTTCCCTTATCAGGACAAAGCAGGTTTTCAGAGATTGCATTCTACTTTTCTTAGTCTGAGGAGACAGTCGGGAGGTTGCCATTGTCCGCCGACAAAAGCCCTATTCATGCCCTGGTAGCCCCGCACAGAGGGTTTAAACACGTTTCAGAAGTTTTCGCAGTTCAAGAGACTGTCCAAATCAACTGGACGCGTTTAAGCAGGCACGATTATGGCGGAAGATTAATTATCTTTGCGGGGGG